TCATACACTGACTCACTCACACATCATACACTGACTCACTCACACATGATACACTGGCTCACTCACACATCATACACTGACTCAATCACACCATGCACTGACTCACTCACACATCATACACTGACTCACTCACACATCATACACTGACTCACTCACACATCATACACTGACTCACTCACACATGATACACTGACTCAATCACACCATGCACTGACTCACTCACACATCATACACTGACTCACTCACACATCATACACTGACTCACTCACACATCATACACTGGCTCACTCACACATCATACACTGACTCACTCACACCATGCACTGACTCACTCACACATCATACACTGACTCACACATCATACACTGACTCACTCACACATCATACACTGACTCACTCACACATCATACACTGACTCACTCACACATCATACACTGGCTCACTCACACATCATACACTGACTCACTCACACATCATACACTGACTCACTCACACCATGCACTGACTCACTCACACATCATACACTGACTCTCTCACACATCATGCACTGACTCACACATCATGCACCGACTCAATCACACATCATGCACTGACTCATTCGCACATCATACACTGACTCACTCACACATCATACACTGACTCACTCACACATCATACACTTACTCACATCATACACTGACTCACTCATCATGTGCTTACTCACTCACACATCATACACTCGCATATCCACTGACCCATTCACTCATCATACACAGGTTCACTCATCGTGTGCTGGCTCACTCACACATTATACACTCACACTGCCGCTGACTCGCTCACACATCATACACCGACTCGCACATCATACACTCACTAACGCTGCTGCTGACTCACTCACACATCATACACTGGGAGTGTCGTGCTGCCAGCTATGGCTGCAGTTTTTTGTCGTCCGTGTTATATATGTCGTTTATTGTTAAATTTAAAATCACAGTTCCTATGATTACTGTTGTTACATTGTTTTCTTAGCTTCATTTTGGTGATTCGAAAACATATGGTTAATCCAAATTGTCTTATGGTTGTTGTTGTTGGCTTGCACCACATTGATTTTTGCACACAGCGTTTTAATACGTTTTTTTTGTGTGGAATATTTGCTGGTTTATTCCAGAATGTTTCTGTTACGCGTTGTCGCTTTAAGATGTTCTGTGTTCAAATTTTGTTTGTTGCGGTTGCACCCGACTTAAGAGCCGCATGGCTCACAGGGCTATACCTAATAAATGAAACTTGAATGAAACTTGAAACTCTGTGTGGAGAGACACGCTCACACTGTGTGGAGAGACACTCACTCTGTGTGGAGAGACACACTCACTCTCTGTGTGGAGAGACACGCTCACTCTGTGTGGAGAGACACTCACTCTGTGTGGAGAGACACACTCACTCTGTGTGGAGAGACACGCTCACTGTGTGTGGAGAGACACGCTCACTCTGTGGAGAGACACACTCACTGTGTGTGGAGAGACATACTCACTCTGTGTGTGGAGAGACACAGTCACTCTCTGTGTGTGGAGAGACACGCTCACTCTGTGTGTGGAGAGACACGCTCACTGTGTGTGGAGAGACACACTCACTCTCTGTGTGTGGAGAGACACGCTCACTCTGTGTGTGGAGAGACACCCTCACTCTGTGTGGAGAGACACACTCTGTGTGTGGAGAGACACACTCTGTGTGTGGAGAGACACACTCACTGTGTGGAGAGACACACTCACTCTCTGTGTGGAGAGACACGCTCTCTCTCTGTGTGGAGAGACACGCTCACTCTGTGTGAAGAGACACGCTCACTCTGTGTGTGGAGAGACACACTCACTCTGTGTGTGGAGAGACACACTCACTCTGTGTGGAGAGACACACTCTGTGTGTGGAGAGACACACTCTGTGTGTGGAGAGACACACTCACTGTGTGGAGAGACACACTCACTCTCTGTGTGGAGAGACACGCTCACTCTCTGTGTGGAGAGACACGCTCACGCTGTGTGAAGAGACACGCTCACTCTGTGTGTGGAGAGACACACTCACTCTGTGTGTGGAGAGACACACTCACTCTGTGTGGAGAGACACACTTACTCTCTGTGTGGAGAGACACGCTCACTCTGCGTGGAGAGACACGCTCACTCTGTGTGGAGAGACACACTCACTGTGTGTGGAGAGACACACTCACTCTGTGGAGAGACACACTCACTCTCTGTGTGGAGAGACACACTCACACTGTGTGGAGAGACACGCTCACTCTGTGTGGAGAGACACGCTCACTGTGTGTGTGGAGAGACACACTCACACTGTGTGGAGAGACACACTCACACTGTGTGGAGAGACACACTCACTCTGTGTGGAGAGACACACTCACACTGTGTGGAGAGACACAGTCACTCTCTGTGTGTGGAGAGACACGCTCACTCTGTGTGTGGAGAGACACGCTCACTGTGTGTGGAGAGACACACTCACTCTCTGTGTGTGGAGAGACACGCTCACTCTGTGTGTGGAGAGACACCCTCACTCTGTGTGGAGAGACACACTCTGTGTGTGGAGAGACACACTCTGTGTGTGGAGAGACACACTCACTGTGTGGAGAGACACACTCACTCTCTGTGTGGAGAGACACGCTCACTCTCTGTGTGGAGAGACACGCTCACTCTGTGTGAAGAGACACGCTCACTCTGTGTGTGGAGAGACACACTCACTCTGTGTGTGGAGAGACACACTCACTCTGTGTGGAGAGACACACTCTGTGTGTGGAGAGACACACTCTGTGTGTGGAGAGACACACTCACTGTGTGGAGAGACACACTCACTCTCTGTGTGGAGAGACACGCTCACTCTCTGTGTGGAGAGACACGCTCACGCTGTGTGAAGAGACACGCTCACTCTGTGTGTGGAGAGACACACTCACTCTGTGTGTGGAGAGACACACTCACTCTGTGTGGAGAGACACACTTACTCTGTGTGGAGAGACACGCTCACTCTGCGTGGAGAGACACGCTCACTCTGTGTGGAGAGACACACTCACTGTGTGTGGAGAGACACACTCACTCTGTGGAGAGACACACTCACTCTCTGTGTGGAGAGACACACTCACACTGTGTGGAGAGACACGCTCACTCTGTGTGGAGAGACACGCTCACTGTGTGTGTGGAGAGACACACTCACACTGTGTGGAGAGACACACTCACACTGTGTGGAGAGACACACTCACTCTGTGTGGAGAGACACACTCACACTGTGTGGAGAGACACTCACTCTCTGTTTGGAGAGACACACTCACTGTGTGTGGAGAGACACACTCACTCTGTGTGCGGAGAGACACGCTCACTCTGCGTGGAGAGACACGCTCACTCTGTGTGAAGAGACACGCTCACTGTGTGGAGAGACGCTCACTCTCTGTGTGGACAGACACACTCACTCTGTGTGTGGAGAGACACGCTCACTCTGTGTGGAGAGACACACTCACTCTGTGTGGAGAGACACACTCACTCTGTGTGGAGAGACACTCACTGTGTGGAGAGACACACTCACACTGCGTGGAGAGACACGCTCACTGTGTGGAGAGACACGCTCACTCTGTGTGGAGAGACACGCTCACTGTGTGGAGAGACACGCTCACTGTGTGGAGAGACACTCAGTGTGGAGAGACAAGCTCACTGTGTAGAGAGACACACTTACTCTGTGTGGAGAGACACACTCACTCTGTGTGGAGAGACACGCTCACTCTCTGCGTGGAGAGACACACTCACTCTGTGTGGAGAGACACGCTCACTCTCTGCGTGGAGAGACACACTTACTCTGTGTGGAGAGACACGCTCACTCTCTGCGTGGAGAGACACACTCACTCTGTGTGGAGAGACACGCTCACTCTCTGCGTGGAGAGACACACTCACTCTGTGGAGAGACACGTTCACTCTCTGCGTGGAGAGACACACTCACTCTGTGTGTGGAGAGACACGCTCACTCTGCGTGGAGAGACACACTCACTCTGTGTGGAGAGACACGCTCACTCTCTGCGTGGAGAGACACACTCACTGTGTGGAGAGACACGCTCACTCTCTACGTGGAGAGACACACTCACTCTGTGTGGAGAGACACGCTCACTCTGTGTGGAGAGACACGCTCACTCTCTGCGTGGAGAGACACACTCACTCTCTGTGAAGAGAGACACACTCACTCTGCGTGGAGAGACACACTCACTCTGTGTGGAGAGACACGCTCACTCTCTGCGTGGAGAGACACACTCACTGTGTGGAGAGACACGCTCACTCTCTGCGTGGAGAGACACACTCACTGTGTGGAGAGACACTCACTCTGTGTGGAGAGACACGCTCACTCTCTGCGTGGAGAGACACACTCACTCTGTGTGGAGAGACACGCTCACTCTCTGCGTGGAGAGACACACTCACTGTGTGGAGAGACACGCTCACTCTCTGCGTGGAGAGACACACTCACTGTGTGGAGAGACACTCACTCTGTGTGGAGAGACACGCTCACTCTCTGCGTGGAGAGACACACTCACTCTGTGTAGAGAGACACACTCACTCTGTGTAGAGAGACACGCTCACTCTGTGTGGAGAGACACACTCACTGTGTGGAGAGACACACTCACTGTGTGGAGAGACACACTCACTCTGCGTGGAGAGACACACTCACTCTGTGTGGAGACACACTCACTCTGTGTGGAGAGACACATTCACTCTCTGCGTGGAGACACGCTCACTCTGTGTGGAGACACACTCACTCTGTGTGGAGAGACACACTCACTCTGTGTGTGGAGAGACACTCAACTCTGTGTGGAGAGACACACTCACTGTGTGGAGAGACACATTCACTCTGTGTATAAATATGAACAGCGGAGCACGACCATAAAGTGCTTTGGAGGCACGCGACTCGCAATGCCTCATCAATGCGTGCCCCCCCGCCCCCCTCGCAGAGTTACCTCCGAACTATCATCCGCAACACCACCACCGGCAGGGCACGACGACATTTTGATGCACTTTATTTTACAAAGTCCCGCCAAGTAACCTCGCAACAAACCACGATCCCTACAGATCAACAGCTCCACACCAAAAGGCAATCGCCGTCGTACGGAATTGGGATTCACCCCCCCCTCCTCCTCCTCCTCCCGAAGGTACGCCGCTCGTCCGCTTCTCGTCCAGTGGCCGTTCATCTTCGTCGGCAAGGAGCCATGATCAGCGCAGAGTTGGGAGCGGTGGGGGGGGGTGGTGGTTCAGCGGATTTACTCCCCACCCCACCCCCGGCACCTCGCTTGCTCAACGCTTCATTCAAAGCGAGGTCACAGAGGTCAGCCGAAGGCCTCCTCCGATCCTCCACGACCTGTGATCTCCCCCCCCCACCAACCACCACCAACCACCACGGCTTCATTAACACCGCGCACATGTGTTTTGGGTGCAAGGGTGAGGGGCATTGTGTGCGCGCGCAGTCATCCACGGTGGGGGCCCGTCCATCCCCGGCAGCCGATGACCGGTCCCCTGCCAAAACGGGTGGGGGTGGAAACCTGCAGCTTCCCCCCAAAAAACTGAACCACCAGTTTGGAATAAGTCCCACAGTGTGAAACAGAAATAGCATTTACAATACTTGACAAGATGCTCCACACTCCCTACTCGAACCCCACACGTCAGCCCCTTCATAGAAAACCGAACATCTTGCACATCTATATTCCTGTGGATGTGTGTGTTTTGTTTTAACGAGTCGCTGTGGGTACTGTATGCGTCACAATGTCGACCGATCTCGCGCCCATCTCAAACACCGACACTTGGGGAGAACTGTCTTTTGCTATTTAAACGCGCCTTTAAAGGTTACTTTGTAAAGATTACAACAGGTTCAAGTAATTTTCATCAATTAACAAAATACACAAGTTAAAGTTGGGAAGGGCGGCACGGGGAGCGGTGCGCGCTGACGATTCCTGTCGGCATGAACTGCCAGTGAGACGCTGAGAGAGGTAAGGGGATGATCGTCTTCATCACCTCCAAGAGTCGTAGTAGTATCATCACAGAGACGTACGATACAAATCAATCGGCAATTGCACGTCGGCAGGATTTAAACCGTCAGCAGCTCAACCCCCCCCCACCCCCAATCCCGTGCGTGAATTTGGGCAATATGGGTCCTCGACAAAGGATCACAAAGACATTGGTGGACGTAACAAAAAAAATACTGGGACACCTCGCCAGGGAAAACGGCGGAGAGGGGGAACGGGTAATAATCCAGACAGGGAGCCAACGCGCCAGATGGCAAGAGGAGTGAGAGAGCAAAGGCCGGGGCAGGGAGAAATATGAACACAAAAATACGGAACAGAAACTGATCGAGTAAACCTCCACGTCAAAGGCATAAAATCCAACATACATGTGCTTACAAATAAAAAAAATGACATCGCCATCAAGAGATTCAAAATATAAATGGTTTCAAGTAGAGCTGGACGGAGTCAATGCCACAGCCTCGCAGCTCCCTCCTCGGTCTCGTCATCATCATCATCATCGTCGTCGTCTCCACCAACGCCTCCAGGTTTCAACCACAGCCGCGGTCCCACAACTTCTTCAGACACGGCCGTCATTACGGCAAATGTAACATTAACATTTGACGAGACTTATAAAAAAGGCGATAGAATGGGTACACTCTTGTGGAGCCAGAGAGATCAAGGGGCAATTTGAATTCAAAGGGTCGACTATTTGAATAGGCCTAATGAATGACCCAGCCGTACGCCTGCTTGTTAACGAGGAATTGCATTGTCCCATTCCAGCGGCTGAAAATATTTGACGCCTTCTACTTTTCAAACGCAGGATTCGCATAATCTCCACGCTCTGTAATGCCGACATCTGGAAAGGCTCGAGCTATCCCACCTGGCCACCGGTGTGGGGAGGTTGCACGCACATATTGGACACTCGCTGGGTTTACATTACGAGTCACTTCGCGTGAACGCAGACGGCAGTCCGTAGCGCAGGCGACCCACGCGAGGCAGCTTCACTTTCTGCACGTGCAGTTAAAGATTGAAACAAATATTTCACCCAACAGCCGCCACGAGCCTACTTGAATCCGCAAAGTGCCAATGAGAATCTCTGTCGGAATATGAATGTGTGCGAGTGGCCAGATTAAAATGCGCGCGGTCGATTGCGGACAGCGAGACACGGGGGGGGGGGGGGGGGGTTGCAGTCAATAATACAAATGTGGACTTAGGAATGTGGAATGGCCAATGAAGCTATGTACGTGGATGGCAAGGATTTAAAGTGTGATTAAGTGTAAGGGGCTCGGGCCAGGGCAGAGAGATGTGGCACACGCGCAAAAAAACAAAAATCACACACCGCAGCCCCTATTTCGATTCAGAAGGCGACGTGGCCGTCAGGGCAACGTAGCTGCGGCGTTGTTCGTTTAAAGAGGCAGCACATGGTCAGCCAAGTCGCAGCGTGGTCACACTCTACGAGAGCAGTCGGGCGTGATTGGATCAAGAGCCACTGAGCAGTCAACGTGAAGGAGGAGGATCCGTGCATATATTAGACATCCGACTGCCGGCAAACCCAACGAAGCCGCTCCCATTTTCAAAAACCACTGCGGTGCACAGCCCCAGTGGGGGGAGGGGGGTCATTGTAATGTGAGGGGCATTGTCCTCACTGCCCAATCGTCCCAGTGAAGCCGTGAGTCTGGCAGAGGGGGCGATGCGACTCAACGGTGCGACAAACCAAACGCCGAGGGGTTTCTTAGGCGCGTGCGTGTTTATCCACACGCTGACTTGAGCTCCATGAATTAGATGCAAAATGTAATCAATTTCTCGTCCCAATAGCACAACATGAAGCTTTTGCGCAAAGAATCGTAGCGGTAAATTCACGACTCTTTTTTTTCCCCCCTCTCAGTGAGAAAATAATTGTGTTTCTTTTCTTCACCTGTTACATGGCCATGAATGCCAGCCGCTATCCGGACAGGATCACTTATGGACACACACTTTGGTTTGCTTGGCATTCACCGGTAGAGAAGTAACCATGTTTTATGTGGCCTTGCAGAGAAGACTCTCATTCGAAGGTGTACTCAAGTAACATGATTGCAAAATCAAACTTTGGGATGGTCTCAACGAAATAAAAAAAACGTTTATTTCTGGTGGCAGAAAAGTGGATGTGCAATTGCAGGGATTCTCGCAATGGCACATCCACTTACAAACCCTTTCCTCCCTCGAACAGACGTGTCCCTCACCAAAACTCGCTTCCCTCCGCCCTAAAGGCAAGAACGCTCCACCCACCCTTCAATTTTGACTTCACCAAACTCATCCCCCTGGACCAATAATACCACTCAAACTGTGGCTCGAGCAGCCTTGGGGGAGCTGCCCACCGGTTGTAAAGCGCTCTGGCACCAGAGGTACTCTCCCGCGTGGGACTTGCGACCTGGTGCAGCTGTTCCCCACTGCTCTGATAGGAGTCGATATGTTAGTGCAGTCATATGTGGCATCATTTACATCTTAGTGCACACCTGAAAATCAAAGCCTACGACGATGCAAGTCTGCGCATGTCAGTGGTCAGAGACTGCACACATCACTCCAATGTTCAAAGGGAAACATTTTGGTTACATCCCAGCGGCTAAGCTGCTCAAACCAAACACTGCGAATCCATGTGCGGCGCCATCACGGTAATCGGTTATGAGCAATGTCAGTGTAAGACGTCCTCTGATCGGCTGTTGGCGGTCCGGTCCGATGCCTCCCGACGGAGTTGCATAACGTTTGTGCCCCCTCGCGAATAACCAGGTCGGCTGTATCGTCTTCACGAGCGGAGCCGTGTCCCGGTTCACGAGCGGAGCCGTGTCCAGGTTCACGAGTGGAGCCGTGTCCAGGTTCACGAGTGAAGCCGTGTCCAGGTTCACGAGTGAAGCTTGTGTCCAGGTTCACGAGTGAAGCTCGTGTCCAGGTTCACGAGTGAAGCTCGTGTCCAGGTTCACGAGCGGAGCTTGTGTCCAGGTTCACGAGCGGAACTTGGGTCCAGGTTCACGAGTGAAGCTCGTGTCCAGGTTCACGAGTGGAGCTTGTGTTCAGGTTCACGAGGGGAACTTGTGTTCAGGTTCACGAGGGGAACTTGTGTCCCGCTTCACGAGCGGAACTCATGTCCCGCTTCCCGAGTGGAGCTTGTGTCCAGGTTCACGAGCGGAACTCGTGTCCAAGTTCACGAGTGAAGCTCGTGTCCAGGTTCACGAGCGGAACTCATGTCCAGGTTCACGAGCGGAGCCGTGTCCAGGTTCACGACTGGAGCTTGTGTCCCGGTTCACGAGTGGAGCCGTGTCCAGGTTCACGAGTGGAGCTCGTGAACCTGGACACGACCAGAGCTCGTGTCCCGGTTCACGAGTGGAGCTCGTGTCCCGGTTCACGAGCGGAGCCGTGTCCAGGTTCACGACCGGAGCTTGTGTCCAGGTTCACGAGCGGATCTCATGTCCCGGTTCCACAGACTCCGTTGGCCGTCACTCGCAAATCAAAAGAGGTTTTCTTCAAATGTTGCCATGAGGTCCTTTTGGAAATTCATATCAATGGTTCCTGCCAGCTGCATGCACACACAAACACACGCACGTAAAATTAATTAAAAAAAACAGGCCGCCGTAGCATCGCGGGTTTTAACTCGTGCAATTGACAAGTTTTCTCTGGGGCAAATGAAACCGTTCGAACGAAGTGCAATAATTCTCACCGCCTCTCTCCTTCGCCTCTCCTGCTCCCGCTGCCTCGCGATCTCCCTCTCCCGCTCCTTCGCGGCCTGCTGCTTATGCAAATCATGTGGAGCCTGCTGCTGCTGCTGCTGATGATGCTGCTGCATGTCCATGTCTGTGTGCATGGCCTGCACGTGGTGCTCCAGTTCAATCTTCTCGAGCTGTTGCTGCTCTTGCCTCGTCACCTCCTGTGCCCCACGTGGACACTCCATAGACTCCTCCTCATCCCGATCTCTGCGGAAAAAACCGCGTGCGCGCACATACGGATCAGCAGGAGGGAACACGCAGGCCAGAACATGAGCGTGCGCACACGAGGGTACGGCAAAACGCATAACGCCACAAGCACGGCGCGCAGTTAGCCTAGCTAATGAGGAAAGACTCTGATAATTAGTTCTCTTTAATATCGACGTTATATATCTTTAAATGGCTACATCACGATGAGACCAATTAAGAGAGAAGCTTCCTGTTACATATTACAACTGCCTAATCTGCAAGGTACTGAGCATTTACAATTCTAACTCATCTTTAAAGCACAGCGGGGAAATTGTTAGTTTTACAATTGATATTGTTTTAGGCAATGTATGTATGTTTAACTTCTTTCGCACTGCGCGCAGCCGTAGCCAACTGTGCTAATCGGAGGTGCGGGGAAAGAACAACAAACTAAACACAAGCAATGCACACTGCCACTATAATTGCTGACACTAGCCTGCCATTGTTGAACACACCGCTGTAACGGTGGCAATGGACAACATTCAGATTTGACATGGTAGCACCATTTTAAGCATACTTTCCCAGTCTCCTGAACAAGGCCAAAAAAACGAAATCGCCGTCACTGTGCCCAATCTTGTAAATTGAACAGGGCCAAGCCTGATTAGTACTTGAATAGGAGATGGCCCGGGGATACTAGGTGATAACAGAGCGCCGCAGTGACGAGATGTTAACTTTCTCGTCCGATATACAGGAGGTTGTGGGTCCGATCCCAACCCTGACACCTGTATATTTGGAGTTTGCACGTTCTCCCCGTGGTTGCGTAGATTCTTCTCCAGGTACTCCGGTTTTTCCTCTCCACATTTAGAACACATTTAACACGTCGGCTTTTGCGACCAATATCTGATGAAGCTAGCTGTAATTACTGGCGAAACGTCGTACTTAAGATTGGAAATCTTGATTTGAAGCTTTCGTGACTTGAGGAATCCACACTCTCTGGTTCTTTCGGTAAAGTCACGTAGATAGAAAAAATAATAAAAGTAAAAAACGTTTCGGTCGCAACACAATTGGCCATCTTCAGGTGAGAATTTTTTTCTTGCTGTTGTGGCTTCATATAGGCACGGGAGGGGAGGGGGAAAAGAGTTTGGCTGTAGGGGTTCGGCACGGGGGGGAGGGAGGAGTCTAACCCCGACAGCCAAACTCCTCCTCCCCCCCCGTTCCTAACTCCTACAGCCAAACTCCTCCTCCCCCCCACCACCTCCCGTGCCTATATAGAGCCACAACAGCAGATAATGTTTCTCACCTGAAGACGGCCGTTTGTGTTGCGACCGAAACGTGTTTTCTTTTATTATTTTTTCTTCTATCTACGTGACTTTACCGAAAGAACCAGAGAATACAGATTGTAAATGTTGTTGATTTGCTCTCCAACACACCGGTGTGCTGTACTCGTAACAAATTGGCATGTTCTGTTTACGTGATAAACTTTACTAATTGGCTGTGTCGGGTGGTGGCGGGTTTAATGACATTTATATTTTCGCAATCCAACCCAAAAAACACTATATTATGGATTTATAATCAACTTGCATTCAAGAATATTTGGCTGCTACTATAAATGTCCACATGATAAGCCACTTCGTTGGGCTATCATTTGTAGCCAGGTCACTTCTGAAAAAAGAGCTACATAGCTAAGTGGGCCTTACCTGCTAAAATAAAAAAAATAGTTCAGTTTGAGTTGAGCATAGGCTTTGGCTGCAAGGTGACCTAGGATGTGGGAGCACAGCGAAATGTTTTTTGAAACTGCTGAGAGCCCTCGGTGTCACGGCATTGCGCACGTGAGTGTCCTCCGGGTTTACGCACCGACACGCATGCAGGAACTCGCGAGCCGCGTCTTGAGATGCAGCGGTCGTGGCTCTGTAAATGAAATCTGTGATGCGGAAGTGGCAAATTCCCCCCCCCCCCACCTCCCCCTCCATCACCTTTGTCGCTGCTCCTTCTCAGAGTGCTGCAGTTGCATGCGCTTGTACTCCCCCCTCTCACGCTCCCTCCTCTCGCGCTCCTCCTTCTCCCGCGCTGCCCTCTTGAACTGCTCAAAGCTCTCGTTGGCCGCTCGGCCTCCTCCACCGCTTGCCCCGACTCCTCCGCCGCCGCTGCCGCCACCACCGCCGCCGCCGCCACACGAGGCCACCGGGGCAACCATCTTCACCAGGCTGGCCCAGCCACCCATGTTCTTTATTTTCACATCCTGATGACCAACAAATATGGCAACACCACAACAATATTCACGCGGCGCTAAAACGCTGCAACCAAACGACTCCAAGCGCTGCACAACTGCAAGAGTAACAATCGGACAGCGAACAGAGAAAAGGGAAAACTAGTTACACACACAGAGACGACACGGAGAGACCAACCTCCCTCAGTCACACACCGACAGCTCACACTCCGAGCTGCACATCCTCATCCAAGCAAACGTCTCGTGATGGAAGCGAGTTGGTCTCGTTCTTATTGGTGGAAGTGAGTCAGTCTCACTCCGATTGGTGGAAGTGAGCAGGTCTTACTCTGATTGGTGGAAGTGTCTCCAGCATCAAGATCAAGAAGCTTATACCCACAATTCAGTGGTGCATGCAGCACAGGCTGGGAACCACAGCTCTAAATCAACACATAGAGCCACATACTCTCATGAGCAAACAGAGATCCACCGTGCAGCCTTCAACAGACCGTTGGGGCAAGTGCTGTCAGCGAGCACATATGAAGGCCGGCAGGGAGTATGAGCTGGTGGGAGACCAGCACCACGCCCAGCCGTCTTTGTCTTCCCAGTGGCAATGTTTGACACACCACACTCGGGTACTAATTCAAGGCTGAGTTGACCTAGAAGGAAACCCAGTACTGGTTAAGATATCAATCACCGACGTTGGTCATGATCAAGAATGGAACGCCGGTACCCGAGGTCGTAGGTGCAGTGCGGCAGTAACCACCACACTCTTAGCACTGCCCACGCGCATACACTTCACACACTGCAGAACACGCACCTTCTGGGGCTGACCAGGAGGAGCAGCAAGCTTTGGCTTTTCTGGCTCCGGGACTCCAAATAAGAACGCTGTGTCCTCTGCATCCACACACACACATACAGCACGGGCAGCAGCAGCAGCAGCAGCTTGAGTGTCACTGAGCACACCCAAAGACGTAGAACGCCCTGCCACCAGGCGTCTGAAACATGCCGAGTGTTTCTCAACTCCGTGGTCTGTGCACGACGCACCTGTTCAGACTTGACATCAAAAATGTTGGGGGAATTTTTTTTCCCCTTTACTAATTATTCATTTAATTAACTTCTTATTTTTCTCATGCTAGCCGTCGCTCACAGTTGCACTTTACTTAGCGCGCGGTTGCAAATTACTTTGCTCAGTCGGTGGTCGCCGCTGAGGTCGTGACGGGTTTATTTTAATCCTTGTTGCTCTATGCCCTCTGCCACCACCTCCTGCACCGTTCCCGTTCTGCTATACTGTGCAGTGAGGTTCACTTTATTGAGGGTGATATTGCTCAATTGAAGAAACGGGTTAGCTCTTCACTTTTGCAGCGTTGGAGGTGCTGTTTGTTGCTGGCTGCTTGACGTTTTGGGACTTTGGGACTGTGCTCAGCAACTGTGTTTTTTTACACTCGGTAATTATAATAATAATAAACAATCCAAAACGCACAATGTTCAATCGAGAACTCGGAGTGCAGCCAGAGCTCAAAGTCCCACGTACATAGCCTGAACAGGCGGGAGCCTGAACGGGGTGAGAGTCTGAACAGGCGGGAGCCTGAAACGGGGTGAGAGTCTGAACGGGTGAGAGTCTGAAGGGGATGACAGTATGAACGGGGTGAGAGCCTGAACGGGGTGAGATCCTGAACGGGGTGAGAGTCTGAACGGGGTGAGAGTCTGAACGGGTGAGAGTCTGAACGGGTGAGAGTCTGAAGGGGATGACAGTATGAACGGGGTGAGAGTCTGAAGGGGATGACAGTATGAACGGGGTGAGAGCCTGAACGGGGTGAGAGTCTGAAGGGGATGACAGTATGAACGGGGTGAGAGTCTGAAGGGGATGACAGTATGAACGGGGTGAGAGTCTGAACGGGTGAGAGTCTGAAGGGGATGACAGTATGAACGGGGTGAGAGTCTGAAGGGGATGACAGTCTGAACGGGGTGAGATCCTGAACGGGTGAGAGTCTGAAGGGGATGACAGTATGAACGGGGTGAGAGTCTGAAGGGGATGACAGTATGAACGGGGTGAGAGTCTGAACGGGTGAGAGTCTGAAGGGGATGACAGTATGAACGGGGTGAGAGTCTGAAGGGGATGACAGTCTGAACGGGGTGAGATCCTGAACGGGTGAGAGTCTGAAGGGGATGACAGTATGAACGGGGTGAGAGTCTGAAGGGGATGACAGTATGAACGGGGTGAGAGCCTGAACAGGGTGAGAGTCTGAAGGGGATGACAGTCTGAACGCGGTGTGCAGCGCTGCGCCTGTTCGCAGTGTGCGGCGTCTCACCGTGCAGGCCTGACGGCGACGGAGTGCGCACGTGCTCATCCAGGATTCTCTGCAGCCCGTCCTGCGCGGCAGAGCCACATCCACGCACACGCACACACACTCAGCGAGACCGAGCCATGAGGTGCCCACACATCATCCGGACTGTCAGGCCAGGTGGCTTGGCGGCAGAGCGAGGAGCGTCTCGCAGTCGGAAGGAAGGTCACGAGTTCAAAATCACGGCTGGGGGATTGACTCGGCCAATTTTCCCTCTGGCGTCAATAGAACAGGTGGGGAAGTCAAAAGCGGTTGTCCTACGGGCAGACTGCCCCCAACCATAGGACAGTGGAATTCCCACCACTGGCTCAGGGCTGTAAGCAGATGGGCACCGATGCCTCACCGTCCGTTTGAGCGGAAAGTCAATTTGACTCTGACCTGTATACTGTGCGTGTACGTTGAATTTCTTTCGCACGGTACTTAGCCAACCATGCTAATCGTAGGTGCGGCATACTTTATGGGTATACTTAATGTATACCAAGGGCATACTTTACACATTACTACTATTGTGCTTGTTCACCCAGGGAAGCCTCACCAAGCCTCGAGAAAGCCTTTGTCAGGAGGATCCTGACAAAGTTTTCGCAGGAGGGTGTGATGTTGCTGCTGTGCGCGAACAATCACGCATCGTGCTTGCGCTGAAACGCGGTTCTTCGGTCAGGGAACACTTTACGTAACACGGCGGAATGCAAACCGTTGTAATGTCGTTTCGGAGTGGTCGACGACAAGCTACTTTCTCCAGCTGTGCGGCTGGGTGGTATCAGAATTCTGAGTATACACACGGAATGACACAGTACACGGAATGATAGAGTAAGTGGCGACGTACCCTCGTGCCATATCTTTGTCTCACCGTAGCATGGCTACAGGCTGATTTTAGAGCGCAAATGTGATTCAAATTTCCATTTTTGTATTTATTTCCTGTAATGTATATACATGCAATTCCCCGCTTAATGCGGCACCTTTCAAGAACGCATTCAACCGCGTTAAACGAGGAATTACTTAGTTTAGAGGTAATTCTTCGGCACTGGGATGTTTGGCCAGTTACAGAGTGTGTAAAGTATGTATAACTTATTTCGCACCGTACGTAGCCAACCATGCTAATTGAAGGTGCTTCGGGACCAAACTGGAGCACACAGAGGACACCGGTTTCGAGAACACAACGGCCCGGCCCACAAGCCCCGTCGCCCCGTGCAGCACTCACCAATCCCGGCGAGGACTGTGGGGAGCTGAGGCTGAGGGGCGAGAGGGCGCGGCCGACCCCGAAAGCGTCGCCGGACAAGGCGTCAAAGCTCATCCTGTCCTGCGAGCCGCCCAGCACGCCGTGCGAGAACGGCCCATCGCTCCCAAACTCGGAGAACTCGGACGAGTCGCGCAGCGGGGAGATGACGCCGTGCGCGCCGTCCTGGCTGGACGCCGCGTCGTGCTGCAACTCGCTCTGGGAGAACGTCTGGTGAAACGAGTGTTGCGTGAACGGAGCGCTCTGCTGCGGTGGCTGAGGCAAGGAACCCTGGGAATAGTCCTGTTGCATGTGCTCCATCGAAGCGAAGACGGGCTGCTGTTCCAAAGGATTGTGGGCGTACGCCTCTTGATCTTGATGCTGGAGCACATCTTGAGAGGCCAGGCGCTCCGTCTGGTCGCCCTGGCGAGCGTGCTGCCGCAAGGCGTCGTGCGTGACCTCCGACGCGTGACAACTCGCGCCGTGCGCCAGCATGCTCTGCGCATGCTGCAGCTGCGCGCCGGCCGCGTGCGGCGCGTGGAGGCCCTGGTGCTGTAACTGCGGCGCCACCGTGCCGGGAGAGAGCACGCGCGGCGCGTCCGAGCGCGCAGGGCGACCCTGGGAGAGCCGCAGGTCCGGCGAGAGTGCCGCGTGGGAGCTCGCCGCCATCGCCGCCGCCGCCGCCGCCGGACGCGACGCGCCGCGCTGCGGCTCGTCGAGCTGCTGCGCGTGCGCCGGAGGCGCGCCGGGCGCGAGCGCCGTGGCGTGCCGAGCGTATGGCGCCGCGGGGGGCGCCTCGGGCAGGCACGGGGGGGCGGCGGCGCGAAGAGAGGCGGGCGGCGGTGCCGCCGCCGCTGCCGCCGCCGCCGCGGGGAGAGGGACGGGGCTCTGCGTGTACGGGGCCAGCGAGCCGGAGCTCTGCGCTTTCGGAGGTCGGGGGGCGGCTTTCGTGCTCGGTCGCGAGGGCTGGGGCGGAAGGCTGCTGTGGAACGCTGGAAAAGAAAACGCGAGCGATGGCCCCGTTACAACCACCACGCACACCACGGGGCTCAGCGTGCGCGCCGGAACCTCTCCACGCTGGACTCGAGTAAGCCAGAATTTGGGGGCAACAAAATAAACAGAGCTACGAACCCCCCCAGAAAGAATATTGTCCACACGCTCGTGAAGCTGCACACGGTAGGCGACGGCGCAAAGCTCAATGCAGATCGCGTGTGGGAAACATGAGCTACGACTTTCGACGGGAGCAAATGCAAGACGACGTCGCCATGCAGCGGCAATTATCGAGCTACGTGCTTATCTGTTCACGGCAGTCAGTGGACCTGTGCCCTTGGGACACCCTCGGCCGTCCACGCTTGAGCTACCATGGGTCTCCCGTCTCAATTATCGTTAACCGGCGGCCCACCGGGACACAGCAGCTACGAACCCCCCAGAATGAACGACCAAGGCGCGAGCGTGGTCCTGCACACCTGGAGTGACGGGGAGGGTGGTTGCCGTGGACACCACGTAGGAGTGCGGGAGCCTCTCGTTCGATTCTCCCGGTAATGCGGTCATCTGCAAGGATAACGATAAGCGCGGTTAGCCTCGGCTTTACGCTCTACGCTTCGGCCTGTTGCCTCTGAGACGGCAGCCTCCACACCAACGTTTAGCTATTGCCTCTTGAGCATTGAATGCTGGCGTCTGCCCGTGTCGGGTCGAGTTGATTTTTTTAAGCAAGTGAGAGAACTCCAAGAGACCAGGATAGTCTCATTTGTTCGAGTGACCTGGGTCGCCCAACTGAACAAAGGAAAAAACTAATTATGCACAAGTACAGTAGTAGTTCACTGACATCGGTTAACAGTTTTTCAGTTAACGTTTCGCCTCTCGTAGACCTCCCCTGGTTTCGACTAACTGTAAATGTTGGTTCACGGCACGTTCACGTTATGCACGCGGGCGCCAATTTCGGCCAATCCGAGAGCTCGGAAGTGGGGCTAGGCCATGCCCTCAGCTGTCTATGAGCGTTTAGACCTCGACTGGCTTTGTTTACATTGTTTTTTGTTTTGGCAGTCGGAGAAGCTCTCTTGCCGACGCAGTGATTTTTACAAATTTTTCAACTTTTGAGTATATTCGATGACCAGTTATTTTGGTCAACAGCAGTTTTCGTGGAACGGATGACAAACGTTAACCGAGGGACCAGTGTACAGCGATGAAAAAAACATCTATCAGTGCAAAAACAAGCGTGTCACCTGATAAATGTAAAATTATTGCACAAATATGAATCAATACTAAATAATAAAATCCCTGTAGCGGTCAGCTGGGGCAGTTCATTTTTATACTGATCACAGCACAATTATAACGACGCTACAGAGCCATGGAACAGACATAGGATGATATTCTTTGGTCCTTACGGTAAAGTCACGAAGATAGAAAAAAATAAAAATAAAGCGAATGAAAATAAAAATTTGAAAAAATACAAATACTGTAGCCTGGTTCTTAATTGGAGTGTGTACTGGCAGTCTATAATGTAGACTGTAGCCTAGTTATTAAGATTGTTGAGTGTACTGGCAGTCTATAATGTAGACTGTAGCCTGGTTATTAAGTTTGGTGAGTGTACTGGCAGTCTATAATGTAGACTGTAGCCTGGTTATTAAGTTTGGTGAGTGTACTGGCAGTCTATAATGTAGACTGTAGCAATGGTTATTAAGCTGGGTAAGTGTACTGGTACTCTATAATGTAGACTGTAGCCTGGTTCTTAACATCGGTGAGCGTACTAGCAGTCTATAATGTAGACTATAGCCTGGTTTTGAACCTCGGTGAGTGTACTGGCAGTCTATAATGTAGACTGTAGCCTGGTTCTTAACCTCGGTGAGTGTTCTGGCAGTCGAAATTGTTTGTGTGTGTAGCTACCATCATTAAGTAGGTTATTGTACACGGGGTCATCATGGACAAAACCGTGTACAATAACAACACATTCCAGCGGAGGGAACTGGTAGGAACGTTGGGTTGCTCGGTCAATGGCCAGGGTTAACGGCGGCACCACGTGGTGTATTCCACAAATATGCCCGACTGTGAGGGCAGGCACAAGCCGGCGTGAGTAGGTTAAACGTTGAGTTTCATAAGGGCACCACGGGGTGACCAGCCCCTCCCGACCCAGCCCCTCCCCACCCAGCCCCTCCCCACCCAGCCCCTCCCCACCCAGCCCCTCCCCACCCAGCCCCTCCCCACCCAGCCCCTCCCCACCCAGCCCCTCCCCACCCAGCCCCTCTCCACCCAGCCCCTCCCCACCCAGCCACTCCCCACCCTCCCCTCCCCACCCAGCCCCTCCCTCCCCACCCTCTCCTCTCCACCCAGCCCCACCCCTCCCATGTTTGGATGCACGACGGACGGACGCAATAATCCCCCGTGGGCTGGTGGTGTAACCAGGAGGTTCCCACCAGTAAAATTCAGGACCTATTGGCATTAGCTGGTGCTGCTGAGACACTTGGGCTACGCCCATCTCCCAACCTTTATAAACAGTTTGCCTTTAGAGGCTAACCCCCCTTTTCCTGATGACGACCGCTTGTGTTGAGATCAAAACGACGTGGCTTTTTGTTTGTTTTAAATTTTTCAGCCTACAGTATACATTACAGACTGCCAGTACACTCACCGAGGTTAAGATTTTAGAAGAGATGTAATTCCAGGTCTTTGGGGCATTGACAAAGAAGCGAGTGTTTTCGCCCTCGGCACGGCTGTACGTGTGTGTGTGTGTGCGAGTGTGGTGGAGAGCGGGAGTGCAGCAGTTAGCGCGCTGTGCTGCGAACCGGGCGACCCGGGTTCGATTCCCGCTCACGGCCAACACCAGTGGCGATTATCTGAAATGGGTCCTGGGCCTCCCCAAGGTCGACTCAGCTTCAAATGAGTACCTGGCGCGGTGTATAACCATTGCTACTGGGGAGACAAAGGCGGTGGGGCGTAGTGCTGGCCACCCACCCCATCGTGTGCCGCGCCGGCCTTCACAGGTGCTTGCTAACACAGCACTTGCCCCAACAGTCTGTTCAGGCTATATGGGGGGGGATCTTTGTCTTTGTTTGGTGCGCGTGTCCATGTATGTTGAACTTATTTTGCACCGTACGTAGCCAACTGTGCTAATCCATGAGGGCCATACCTGCTCTGTTGACACGTTGCTTTCATTCGCATGCATGTGGGTACTGCTCTCCACCAGAGGGTAGCTCACACGCCCTAGTAGACCCGTTCACGCACGCACACACACACACACAGTTTTGTAAGTTATTCCTATACACTAAAAATAACGGTAACAGCAGCTCACTAAAAAAACATTCCAGTCGCCGACAAAATGTAAGCGCACATAAGTTTCACACGACACCAGACTGGTGGCAGTTGACGTGCACAGCCAATGAACTAGCTCAGCCATGGACTGTAAATGACGGTTGCAGGTTGCAGGTTACACTTCCCTTCGCAAGTCAAACATGTCGTTAGTTTCCATTTTTAATATTTAATATTTATTGGTCTCATTAGAAATGTCTATTGCCAGTTCACTAATGGCAATAAGAGATAAAAATTTTTTTTTTAACTTGAACAATCTCAGGCCAGTGCGATTTGTGTCCGAGAAAAGGCTCACAAGAGATTTTCGCAGCGCCTCCTCTCATCGGCAGTCAGGCTTTCTTAAACCCACGCTGGTCAACCACCAGATGTTTATCAGCAAATTTGTACGTGTAAAGATGAAACACGCAAAAGGGAGATGATGTCATCCGCTTTGCTTAAACTGTTACTTGTGATGTTCTCCACAGCGACGCTTTGCGGCTATTCGGCGCTTCCTGATCACGTGCCGAGGCAACGGAACGAGAGGCCTCACGGGTAAACGTGTGTGTGGGGGACATTACCGATGGCGCTGCTCTCGCTTTCCGATTCCGACTCGGACTCGCAGGCAGAACTGCCGCTCTGCACAGATGTCTCCTGGGGCTCGGGCACCTCCGCTGAACACGAGGAGAGACGGCAGGACGAGGGGGTCGTGAAAAAGTAACCCAAGTTATGGGGGGGGGGGGGGGGGGGGGGTGGCACAGGAGGGGAGGAGGCAGAGGCAAATCACGAGAGCAAAACCTTCAAGTGGATTCACATCACCCTCCTCCGTTGTACGATGTTTAACAATGTTACACCATTGCGGTGCCTGCTTGTAAAACTAAGTCATGGGAAACGTTAGGCCTGGTTAGAATAAACATACGCTGCATTGGGTTTTAACTGTTAACATGTAGGCTTCGGGCCCAATATTATTCTTAATAAAGAGTTTTTTATTGGGGTTAGATCGCTTAAGCATAAATGTGTCGTTAAACCAACCACCACCCGACAGCCAATTCGGAAAGGTTTGTCATGTAAACAAAACGTGCCAATTAGTGACTACTTCAGCACACCAATGTGTTGGAGCATAAACCTCGATTTAAATCTGGTTATTGTCTGAAGCTGGTTGTAATCACCAGCGGAGCGGCGTACTTAAATTGTAAATTTCGTGGATTTACAACGCACCGGTGTGCTTAAGCAGTAACTAAATGGAGCTAACTAATTGGCACGTTTTGTTTACGTGACAAACCCTACAAACCCTCCACATTGGCCATGTCTGGTGGCGGTGGCTTGTTTAACGACACATTTATACTTACACAATCTATAACCCACCCCCCAAAAAAAACCTCAATCATGGATGTAACGGTGAGGTCGCGCAGGTGACCAACGTTTACCGCAGAGTAGCGGCCCATTGCGTGTTCGCAAAGCACATGCCGCCGACACCCTGGACACCCTCGCACACGAGTCTCCTTGGCGAGGGATCATCCAGGTGAATCAGTTTCACAAAAATGTAGGCAACAGCGACAATTCAGCCGAATGGCCACTTCATAGAAGTGCTCGGGTGTTAATACAACTGCCCCTTGTGAGAGTTGACATTTTTACGTACCCCCTACGCGCTTTTACCAAAAGCCGATGATATTGTGCAACCCTACAGGCGTGCGCTCCCACAGGGAAACGACACTGACGTGTGTTTGAACGCGAGGGTTTTGTCGGCACCTTTCTTCACAGCGGCTGCTCGGTTCGGCGGTTTCCGTTCGCCTGAATCTCCGCGCGCCTTCCCTTTGCCTGTAAGGGGAGAGCAAGTCAGAACGTGCCGCACGTTGCGAGCGTGGGAGGTGCAACCTTCAAGGCGGTAACAACGCAGATTTTCGAGCACGCCACACGCAGGCCCAAAAAAACGCGCGAAACACGTGAAAATGTTCGCGTATCGGTCCTTACGCATTAAAAACATACATCCCCATAAGGCACAAGCACAGTCATCTGGGAGCGCACCGTACCAGCAGCATTGGATCAACACGACCCGGTTTGGAATTCATTGCCTCATCATTCCTCTCGAGACAATGCTGGTGAACTGCCGGACGCTTATCGGCAAGGGGACCTCCGTGTGTCGCACACGGGCTCTTGGCTCGACGCACGGGCCATGTGATGCACGTCGCAACGTTAAGCCGAGCATTACCGTGCTGCTGCTGCTGCGGCGCGGCGCGCTGCGCCCGCTTTCGCAGGCAGGCGCCCACGTATCTCTGCAGCTCGCGCAGCGTCGACACCTTGAGCGTCTCGAAGTCGATCTCGATCTCATCGGGGTTGGAGCCGCGCAGCGACGGTTGCCGTGCCTGGATGATGTGCACCACGCGGCCCAGGCGATCGCCCGGCAGCTTGTTGATGTCCAGGCTCAGCTGCCGCTTCTCTTCGTACGACATTGGCGACTTGCTCTGCGGCAAGGAGGGGGCATCGCTCGCCGGGAAGTCGAACAAGTCATCCGACGCGCGGCCCTGGTTGTGGTGCGGAGGCTGCGAGAGTGACCCCCCGATCCCCGCACCTCCCAGGGCCCCCCCGCCGCCTGCCACGGGTAGAGTCGACGAGGACGTGGAGGTCGGCGTCAACGCGCTCCCCGAGGACGTTACGGATCGGCGCGGTTTCCGCAGCGGCCTTCGGGAGAACAAGATCCCGTTACGGGGAAAGGGCGCGCTTGCACGCAAGCAGGCTTGCACAAGGCACGTTGATAAAACAGGAGCTGGGCACGCGCATCCCAGACGGGCATCTTAGTTAAACCACCACGCTCAAGAGCCCGCGACACGTCGGTGACGTCATGCATCTTCCTTAACAGCAGGCCCAAGGGCCAAAAACGTCAAGCAGCCAGCAAAAAAACTGATTCTGCAGATAATTATATTCACTTCAAAGTACTTCTGAGAAGAAATGTATAAACCTTCAAAAGGATAAAGATCAATCTTCTCTAAATGCATTTCATATTTTGCACAAAAAAAAACAAGTTAAAACTACCGATAACTTTCATAACTAATCAAGACTTTACATATAGCACCATATAAAAGCAATGCTTTATTATATGCAATTGTAACAGAAGAAGATCTTTGTACTTGTGTAGCGAGTGACTTCCGAGACACTTCGAGAAGAAGGCTTCTTATTTGTTAAGAGCACACTGGGCGATGCATTGTGTAACGCAGCTACACATAGGCGATCCTAACACGTAGCCCCATCTCCGGCTTCGCTACGCAAGCTGTTCGACCAGCGCAGCGACGGCGAGAGTCTTCAGAAGATCAGCCACGTGGCCGGAGATGAAGAGATGACGACGAACAGCGACGCAGCCAGGACCCAGGACCCGTAACAGCCACGAACCTCTGGTTCGGTCCCCCTTATATCTGTTCCGGCGTGGCCAAGCTCCACCTCTGGCCACGCCCCCTTTCCAGAACCTTCGAGCTGGTTCCCAGATCGACTGACTCCGCCTTTCACCTTTACCCCACAGTTACGCCGCCCTTATAATAAGGCATTATGTAATGCAGCTATGACCGTAATTACCACTCCCGGCCGACAGGTGTCACCCTGGCATTACACTTGTATAAATCTGTTTTTGACGAGTGAGTAGAGTTATTTAAGTTAATTGTGCTTGTGCACCACTGTCAATGCAGCATCACCAAATCATTTTTTTTTAAAGTGAGGCTTTCCTGGGGTAAACAAGCGTGTTGACAAAACACGTTTTCGCAAACGCTGTTCTTCCATTAGGGAACACGTTTCACACAACGCGAAACGTGTCCCGTTATAACGCGGAACGTACACCACTATAATGTGGAATGTGTCCCGTGATAACGTGGAACGAACACTGTTATGAGGAACGGTCCCGTTATAACGCATGCTGTGGTTTTCCCACCTGATGATGATTGCATGTGTTGCAATGGAAACGTCGTGATTTACTTTATTTTATACCTACGTGACTTTATCGAAAGAACCAGAGTATGGATTCCTGCAGTCATGAAAGCTTCAAATCTAGACAATGCACACTGTTATAACGTGGAACGCGCACCATCATAAAACGGAATGTGCACCGTTATAACGCGGTTTCTGAGTGGTCGACGACTAACTACATTTTGGAGCGGTGTGGCTGACAGGCATGAGAATTCTGGGTCTACGTGTGATACAGTACGCGGCGGCATACCCTCATCTCAGTTCTCTGTCTCGCCATGGGATGACGGAAGGCTGATTTTACAGTGCAAATGAGATTCATATTTGCAATGTTTAATTTACCTATTTATGCCCATACATGTATACATGAATTACTTGCTTAACACAGAACTTTTCAGGAACGCATCTCCTGCGCTAGCAGCCGCCTACCATTGCGATTTAGCTGGTCTGGCCTATGCCTTCCAAACACTGCTGCTAAGTGCAAGCATCATTACCGACTCAGCACTGCCTGGACTTCTGTGGAACACAGGAGGTGCGTTGGACGTGTGCTGGAGTGGATAGTCCTCTACTCAGGACCGGAGACCATCAAAAACAGGGAGTTGCTCGTCTTGTCAACACATAAATGAACAGTATATGGGAAACAAAGCGGTGAGGTGTGGGACGAATCGGGTCCCAGGCTGCAATGGGCTCTCTTTCCCATCAACAGAAGGCGAGAAATGGTGGTAGTGGCGGCTTATGCCCCCACCCAAGATGAACATCAGTGGAGTGATGAGTAGGCTGCTTTCAATGACCTCTTGTTAGCTAAAGTGACCCCGAGGAATGGAGTCACTTTATCGAGTAACGTGAATACAGTGATGCATATGCGCCCGGACACACACGGACAGACACCGTGAAGCACTTACTTTACTGGGAGGCCGGCAGTTCCTCTTTTCAAGTGCTTCTTAGATGCCGCTACCTCTCGGCCCCGTTCCCTCTCTCGTCGTCGCCCCTTCCTCTCCCGTTCCCGCTCCCGCTCGCGCTCCCTCTCGCGCTCCCGCTCCCTCTCGCGCTCCCTCTCCCGCTTCTTGTTGCGAGGCTTCACGAGGGGCGCCTGGGACAGCGCGGCCAGCTGCTCGTGCACGGCTCGCAGCTGGGTGGCGCGGGCGGGCGACAAGGGCGGCAGCGCGAGCGACGGGAGATGGCACGACATCCGGCAACGGAAAAACGGAGAAACACAGAGAGCAGCGGTTGAGGTGGAAGAGGACGCATGGCACCGACATGGCCCGGCGGTAGCCCCATTCGCCACTTGTCGTCAAGGATCACGGTTCGAGTCAAGCGGGCGCCCCGGTTAATACTGCAGTGCGTATTAACCATGAAGATACCACACGCCGTCTGCTTCACGCCGGACATTAAAGATCCCGCGATGACATTCACAAAAGTGGCTTATTGTGTGTCGCAGGATAAATGTGATAGGGGGAATTGGTCACAGCGGGCAGAAAATATCTTTGGAAGTGAAACATTTGTTGTCGTTAGAAAGCAACAGAAGTGCAATGTAGTGATGCGTCAGTTTTGAGGTTTGCCACTGTACATAAGCTCTTTGTATTTGCATATTCGCATGTGGGAAGAGGAGCACTGTTAGCATCACCCGTGTAAGTGGTGAAGATGACATCGCAGCAGCTTAAAAGGTTAACGTTGAAGCCGGTCCAGTTCTCTCGTGTTTAACCAACGCTGCTCAATAAATGCACCACAAGAAGGACATGTGGCTGGCAGGATGTGCAAAGATTACTAATAAAATATTTAATGTGGAGAATGCTATGGTAAGGCATAATCTGCATATTTGTTATTTATAACGTGTATGATTATCGCGCGTTATCCGTTACATAGTTCTGTTGTGAACTGGGAGCCATATGTAATAGAAGAGGGTCGTTGCCTATAAATATCAGGCAGTTCATTAACATTGGTTTTAGGCAAGCGTGACTGCTGATGAGGCAATGAATGTCAAAACCAGTGCATACTTTGTATTACACCAATGGTGCTGAAGAAATGAACTCCCAGAAGGCCGTGTAGCTGACGAGATATGTAAATAATATGTAGTCCCTTCTCCATTAATTCAGTAGTTGCGTTCTTGAAGAACACCAGTGTTATGGAAAAATCGCGTTATAATTAACCGAAAGACCCAAAGAATATATAATATGTAATACAGGCTAAAGCACAGTCCCCAATAACAAGTGAGATGCATATGCAGACTGAACAAAGACTGAGGCACGTGGGTAGCATCTCGAAGCATCCCGCTTTGTGATACTACGCCGGGGCAGCCGTATAATGGCGTATTCCTACTCACAATGTGGTTCTGTTCACTCAATTGCATTAGATCCAATTCGCATCTGCGTTATAAAAAAGACATGTGATCCCTAAAACATTAACCATCGCGTTATATAGAATTCACGTGATGAAAACACGAGTTACAGAACATTTGTTTTCTTATGTGGAGGGACAGACATGGGAAGGAGAATTGTCTGCTTATTAATTGTGTTACGTTGGTCGGAGCCCAGATTTTGTGCAAGACCAAGGGTGCACGAGGGTCAGGGGCATCGCTGTGTGGAGACCGCGGGTACCTGCTCCTGCAGCTGCACCAAGCGGTGAGTCCGGTCTTCCTCGCTGCCCGACTCCACGCTCCCCGAGCTCTCCCTGGCTCGCACCACTGGGAACAAAACACCCACATATCCGGCACCAGCTTCCACTTTCAATCCACTCCCTTCTTGCTCGGTCGATTTTCCACGTCAACGTACGCGGAGATTCCCAACTCATGATTTTGCTGATATTTTGCGGAGTGCAAGGATCAGGTCAGGCATGAAGCCAAGACTGCACAATGCAGCTCAGCGACATTGAAGAAGTTAACTACCTCACCTGGTATACAGGCAGTTGTGGGTTCGATTCGGAGCTTGACGCCTGCTGCTGTATATTTAGAGTTTGCGTGTCTCTCTCCCAGTGATCGCGTGGATTTCTCCTCGTGTTCTCTGGTTTTTCCCTCCATATTTAGAAACATGCATTCAGAGTATTTGGCCGCTATAAATGTCCACATGATGAACCACTTCGTTGAGCTATCACTTGTGGCCAGGTCACTTCTGAAAAAGGCCTATATATGTCTCAGTGGGCCTTACCTGATAATATAAAAAATAGTTTATAGTTTAGTCGTAGTTTACACCGAGCACTACAGCCGAGCGATTAACGCGACCGTGTATCTGTTTTCAAATTACATGACACACAAGAGTTCCACTGAATACCCAAGGAAGAAATTATATGCACCATTTTTAACGATGCTGTTGTGATCATCAATGTCCTCATCCTCCTCATCAGAGGCGATGCTGCTGCCGTCTGCGGAGCTGTTTCCGAGCGAGCATGTGTCGTTGGAGTGGTTCACGTGGCGACAAATGCCGGGCGACAGGCTCCGCACGGCCGCCGGCATCCTGGCAGGCTGACCGCTCGCCGAGGGGGGCGGGGGGTCGACTGGGTCATCGGGCATCCTCGCAAATCGCATCTCAAACACGTCCTGCATTCACACAAAGACAATGACGGTGCAGCCTTAACAAAATGTTGGGGCAAGTGCTGTTAGCGAGCAGCACCTATGAAGGCCGACACGGTACACGAGGGGGGGTGGGTAGCCAGCACCACGCCTGTCCGTCTTTGACTCCCCCAGTGGCGACGTTTGCACACCGCACCAGATACACTTTTGAGTCGACCTACGGGAGGAGGCCCAGGAGCGGTTCAGATGATCGTCAATGATGTTTGGCGATGAGTGGGAATCTAATTCGGGTCGTTGGGTTCATGGTGCAGCGCGCTAACCGCTACACTACCGCTTCCCACACACACACCCACAAACACAGTCCTCAGTCTCAGCAGACCATCTATCGGCATGCTCAATTCTGCTTGTGAATTTATTGGCATGTGCCACAGGTCTAATCGGTAAAGTTGGTTACAAAATTAAATGATTGAAGACTATTTTTTGTTATCCCACCAATGTTGCCAATTAGATAACATACATTTTCTCTACATATTTCAAAGTAAACTTTCACTTTAAGGGGTTATTTGTAAGAATTACAACATAATAATTAAGGTAGAGGTAAAAGTTAATTTTACAAACGATGCGTAATGTTTATTGCTTTGCTTAATTCCTCATTGTATATACGTTAAATAATGGAATGTACACAAGCAACAACATGCGCAAACCAGCACTGCACATTGCGTATGTGTTGAATTGCGTATTGCTGCGTGTTTCGTGTGTGTGTTTATGTTTATTGCTGTTGTGCCATGTTCCTCACATAATTGGCAAAAACGAAGATCCTGCTATTTTTCCTACTTTTGAGCTCAAATGAAAATTTGAACCGGTTTAAAGCAGCTGTCCGAAACCGAACCTTCGGAGAGAACTTTAGCTCGAACCCCAAACCGTCGCCAAAAGTGAATCCGTTTGACCACGTGATTAGCACTCTTCCCAGTCGTGTACAGTTACAACATGCAGCACTGCATGTGTCGTCACGGGGTACTGCAAGGTCCGACCATGTCCGTCCAGTGTTGTTGTCCTTCCCCCGCATCTCCGATTAGCACGGTTGGCTACATACGGTGCGAAAGAAGTTCAACATACATACACGCAGTGCTCGCTGAGCTGCATTGGCTTCCGGTTGCCAAATGAATACATTGTAAGATCACACTCATTACACACAAAGTGCTTTCCACAACTCAATCGCAATTCTTTGCTGATTTCGTCAAGGAGCATGAATCGTCACGCAAACTCCGGTCATCCTCGCGGCGGGTTTTGACTCTCCATCGAACAAAGACGGTGTGTGACCGCATCGCGCGCTTCCAGATGCACTTCTGCAGCCGTCTGGAACGCTCTTCCTTCCGATATTAGGAAGCCCACCGTTAGCTATGCACTTTTAAATCTAGATTGAAAACTAGTTTCCTTCTAACTGTTTTTGGCGTTTAGTTTACTGTCCTTTCCCCGCGCCTCCGATTTGCGTGGACGGATACGTACGGTGCAAAAGAAGTTAAACATACAAACAATGCTGGGACATTCCAGGCACAAAGTCTGCTTTGCTGTTCGGGGCCAACCGCACTGTGGCACTGTGGGTGAAATGCGGGACGGCATGCGCCCCCCCGCGTTTGACCCATCCTTGCGGACGGTCCGACGTCGTGAGGTGCCGTGTGACCTCTGACCTGCAGTTTGCGGGCCATAGCCACCACGTCGTGCTCGGGCGGATTGTATTTGTAGCAGTTGGAAAACATGAGTCGCACGTCGCTCGCAAACTCTTGACCGCTTGCGTATTCGCGGGCTTCCAGCTTCCGCTATAACACCACACACACACGCAGGAACATGTCAACATTGATATTAGTGAGACATTAATCGTATATACGGCATGCCTGCCTCCATATGGCCATCCAGCTTATTAACATTTGACAACTGCAAGGTCTTGCATCATCTTTATCAAAGTTGTGTTAAAAAGTTAACATTTATTTGGGCAACTTCAATACCAGCAGAAATGAAACAGATGAAAATACTTTGCCACCATGAACAACAATTATCCAAGACATAATAATCACTTTCAGTTCTTTGGCAATCTACTGCTGGATCCCCATGCCATATGGAGATTTTAGACCATACTTCACCACGCTGGTTTGTGCAGGCTCTGCACTAGCCCAACATATAAGCCACAGATGTAGCAGCCAGCAGCCTCCATTGCAAAAACAAATTGACATCGGAGAAATAACCTGGCTACACGGTGCTCCAAAAGAGAAATAAATAACACATTCCTGCGGAGGGAGCTGGTAGGAACGTTGGGTTGCCCGGTCAATGGTCAGTGTCAACGGCGGCACCACGTGGTGTATTCCGCAAATATACCCGACTGTGAGGGCGGGCACAAGCCGGCGTGGGTAGGTTAAACGTTGAGTTTCATAAGGGCACCACGGGGTGACCAGCCCCTCCCCACCCAGCCCCTCCCCACCCTCCCCACCCAGCCCCAACCCTCCCATTTTTGGATGCACGACAGACGGACACAATAATCCCCTGTGGGCTGGTGTAACCAGGAGGTTCCTACCAGTAAAAAGTATAAATATTAATTGTGTTCTATTCGCAGAGATCAGGTAAAACAACTCCATAACCACAGTTACAAATTGATCAAAAGTTAAGCATGCAATGACTTATATTAGGAAATAAATTACGACGACTTACAAGTTTGACCACTGTCAGGTTTGTTTGTTACTCAACAGCTCCTATTCATATGCCAATTTAAAAAAAAAAAAAACTGTTCAGTAGGAACATCTGTAACATGCAATTCTCATGGTGTTATAGTAGTCTCCAACTCACCCTGATGGTGCCCAAGTCCATGGGATGCTTGATTATATCATGGTAGTCGTGGAGGCCAAGGGCACGCGCATCGACGGGGTTGTAGAAGGGCCAGGCGTACGCGGCATGGTTCTTGCTGATGAGCTCCTTGAGCAGCGAGCCGCAGTAGCGAAGCTGCGCTGACGGGCGGCTTCTGCTGCAAAGGCGTGAGGGCACACGACGCCACGCGAGTGAAACGCACGCACGGGTCACGCACATAAGCGCGCGCACCTTTACGAGGCACGGTATTCATCACAAGGTGCCCATGCACAACTTTCCCTGTGTACTGAAAAAAAATAGGCAACTATATCTGAGCAAATGTACACAAACCAACACACACGGCACCTCTGCTCATCCCGTGATCCAATTACCCAATTACAATCGGATTAAGGATTTTTTTTTTTACTTGGTTGAGAGACATGAACACACACTAACGTGTGCAGACAACACAAGCGCAAAGTAAAACATTCCCCGTAGAGCCTTTAGCAGCCTATTGGGGCCAGTGCTGTTAACGAACAGCAGCTATGAAGACCGGCACGGCACATGAGTGGGGAGGGTGGCCAGCACCACGCCTGGCCGTCTTTGTCACTCCAGTGGTGATGTTTACACACCGCACCATTTCATTTAGTAGCTGGTAAATCGACCTAGGGAAAGCCCAGAACCAATTCGATTATCGTCATGGATGTTGGCCGTGAGCGGGAATTAAACTCAGGTCGCCGGTCTTCGTAGCGCTGCGCACTAACCAATGCGCCACCGCTCCCGACGCACGTACGCAGACGCGCGCGTACATACCTGCGCTGGGTACTGACGTGCGTGCCCCCTACTCCTACTCCTGCGCCCGCGCCCGCGCCCGTGCCCGCGCACGCGACCACCGCCACGTTGGCCATGGATATCTCTTTCCGCGGGGGCTTGATCACTCGCGGGCCACCCCGCTCCCGCTTCACGCAGCCCTGGGCTGCCCCCGCCGCCTCCCTCTGCGCCCCACCAATGCCAGGAGCCGCCACGGGGGTCGCAGCAGGCAGCGTGCTGTGTGCCACGTTCGGGGAGCTCTCCTCGCTGTTGATGCCCGGCGCCGTCAGGCATCGCCCTCCGGATGCCGCGGGCCCTCCGGGAGCCGGGAGCATGCTGGGCGTTGTAGTGTCCGCTTTCCTTTTGATGCCTTTCCTCACCTGTGAGCGCGGTACCAAGAGACAGCGACGGCTTCCATTACTATAATTTACTTCGTTACGCTTGTTTATACCATTTTTAAGGAGGGTACGGACTAGTATTCGGAGCAATAATCACCGTGTATCTTCCAAAGGGGACATTTTTTCAAATTTGAACCACAATGGGCCTACTCTTGTGAATGACGTCACCGGATCTCCACCGTCCACTTGAGGAAGCAGACTGCTGTGTAGTATTTGTATTTATTTTGTTAATCCACCCCCGCAGCATTAACCAGGGTGGCCGCTTGATTCGAACCGTAAAGCTCTGCAACAAGTGGCGAACGCACTACCGCTGGGCCACGTCACCACCCTGTGAGACTGCGTGGATACGTACAGCATACGAATGCTCACGCAAAGGGGACACCTGTGATTAGGTGAAGTTATTAATTGAGACTGCATCAAGAACTGTGCTGCAGACACACGTGCACACACACACACACAGTCGTGGCTGTGCACTCATACCCTGGGTATTATGTGTGTCGCAGTGCTGGGGTTGACGCTGGTTGCTGTGGTAACTGGTGGCCCATGGACCAGTAATGGAGGAGGAACCCCAACCAACTTTGGAGCTGCTGTAAGAAATCACAGAAGTATTCACACGCAGATGTTTGCAAATTAATAATAGCGGACACTCAATGCCTCGTATTGTAGCGGTTTGCCCAAAAAACAAACATGCTACGCCGCACCACTATATGTTCATTTAACAAAGTTATTTAAAATAATTAACAGGACTATACTTTGATTCATAATTGATTTCGGGTTAGGCCACGGAATGACCTGAACAGATCTGTGTCGTTAAGAACCTTCAGATCATTATGTGGCCGAATCCCCAAAAAATTATTTAGAATAATTTTTGGATGCCAAAACATAGGCATTCAGATAACCGTATTCTACTGATCCTCTATATATAACTCGTAGTTGCTCGTGGGTAGAGGCTCCTAGAGGGCCTGCACAGGGTAGAGACCATGCCTACCACAGGGGTGGAACCCGTAAGGGTCTCTCTTGACTGAGGTTCCACGGCGGTGCCGTGGGAGGCTGGGATGCCACCGAGTCACAACGATCGCCCGCTGCACTAGTTACGTGTGGTAGAGGAGCGCCCCAGAAAGTGACGGCGTACTCGACTGCATTTCTAGCCCTTGATCTAATAAGACAATGGCCTGTTCATATGGGCATGAACATGTGGGAGATACGCGTACCCATCCGTAGCTTGCATCACCTCCACCTCAGTGGTTCTCAACTTTTTTGGTACGGCGATCCCCCACTCAGGACCAGAACTTGAATGGACTCTTCGGTGCAGACATTACTTTTACGAGAGATGATGCGGTGAAAACTGCGATCAGCGTGTGTGTGCTCATGATTATCCTGCATGGTCGAAATGTGAATGTAGAAGCGCCAGTATTAAAACGTATTTGTCCTACAGCTCATATTTACTGATAATCACAAAGACAAAGACCCCCCCAGTATAGACTGTAACAGACTTTTGGGGCAAGTGCTATTAGCGAACATCTATGAAGGCCAGCATGGCACATGAGGGGGTGGGTGGCCAACACCACGCCCAGCCGCCTTTGTCTCCCCCAGTGGCGGTTTACACACCGCACCAGGTACTCATATGATACTGCATCGACCTTGGGGAGGCCCTGGACCGGTTAAAATAATGGTCACTCGGTGTTGGCCGTGAGCGGGAATTGGAATCATGGTATACTCGGAATAGGAACCGTTTTGAAAAGTGTCGCTGATACACGTCTGGTGTTCTGAGTAGTGCCAGATTGACATTCTGTCGTATACCGACACGTTTCCATGGCCACCGATTGTTCCTGAATGCCCATGAGGGGCCCAACCATAGGTTGAGCCAATGTGAGAGGTACCAGGTTTTCGCCCCCGTCCTCTGGCGGCGCCTGTAGTGACAGGCGTCTCCTCCACTGGCATTTCTGTGATCTTCTGGAGGAACGCCTTTTCAAGAGCTTGAGCCATAATCGCGATGTCATCACCAGGCTGAAAACGCACACAAACACAGCAATACATTTTTTTGGATGTCCCCAGCCCCAAATGCCTCGGTGTCCTGGAGTGTTTAACATTGTATCTCATCTTAAAACATTTGAAAGGGCACACCCAGTGGCAACTGTCCCTGTGGGCACAAGGTGACACGGCACTTGGCCTGCAAGCGGACATTAGTCTGCCAGTAGGGCGGCAATGATTGCGATAAAGTATAATCCCAATTGAGCAGTTTGCAGGTAATGTTCAAATCCGGCAAATGTGCACACACATTGGGGATTGTTTTACACGTTATTTATATGTTTGTTTACTCAGGAAAACTACGCGGAGACTCACGACTCTTTTTGAGTCGGGTCCTGCCAAGCTTTCATAGATTCTAATTGGATAATCTATGAATACGATGTGGGAAACTGTCAAATGTGCAAGAAAGCTACTTGATGAACGCACGATAATGCACGACATATGAAGACAAAGATCCCTGAATTAGACTTAACAGACTGTTGGGGCAAGTGCTGTTAGCGAGCACTTTTTAAGGCTGGCACTGCTCACAAGGAAGTGGTTGGTCAGCACCATGCCCGGCCACCTTTGTCTCCCTCGTGGCGATGTTTATATACCCCACCAGGTAATCAAATTATTTGAGTCAGAAAATCATCACTGGCGTTGGCCACGAGCGAGAATCAAACACTGGGTCGCCGGGTTCGTAGTGCAGTTCGCTAACCATTCCACTACGGCTCCCTAAGCAATGGGCAGCACATGCGTGTTCACGCACACAGCCCCACCTTATTGTACACGTAGCAGTTGTTGAACATGGTCTTGAAGTCACTGATGCACTCGCTGGCACTCCAGTAGTAGCTGCTTTCCAACCGCTGCTTGATGGTCCCCATGTCCATGGGTTGTTTTATAATCTTGTGGTAGTCCTGTAGCCAAGCGCGCATTGCCACAATTATAATCACCTTCGAAATCACTTGCGTTCAGATCAACGTGTGGGCATCTTTTGAGTGCGTGGCACGCTTAGTGACTTGATACCGGATGGGTATGAATGGTACCGATCCCACTTCTGGACCCATAGCCACAACCCATACCTCAGAGCGGGTCGCTGCCTGAAACATCCGGCACTTCAGATCAGGATCAGAAGATTTATTTACACTGGAGGAATCCAATGAGCTATTAAGCTCTTTTTCACAGATTTCCAGTATGGGCGAGGAAAAAAGTTACAATAACAAACAATACAAAAACATGATAGTAGTGCAAAGTACAAGAAAGGTAAACAAACCAATCAAACACATCCAAATAAAACTAAACCATCCCCATCCTACCAGGCATAGGCCACTGATGAGAGACACTGAATGCCTAAATGCTCCAGAGTTTTGCTTGTCTTGAATCAATGCAGGTGAAATGACGTTCTCCCAGAAAGCCCTGCAGCCAATGCGTTGTATAATAAAGACTTTTAACATTCATGCAGAGGGATCGATAGGTGCAGTAGACGCATAGTCTACTTCTCAATTTTTTTGTTACACCGAGTCCGTTCGTGGTTGCTTTGGGTACCGGCAAGTTGAGTGCAGCCGCATCCACTGGCTGAAGGAAAGGCCAGGCGAAGTGATGTCTCCACAAGACCTTGAGCACGCTGCGCTGCATGAACTGCAGCTGGTTGGTGAGCTGGTAGGGGGCCCCTGGCCGCGTGGTCTCGGGGGGAGGAGGGTTCACGATCTTTCCCGGAGGGTTTGTGGTCATTGTCGGTGTCGTCGTCATGGTCGATGAGCCTGCGAGAGTGGCAGCAACAGCAGCAGTGTCACAGGAGCTCCGCATCACACAAAAACACCCACGTTCCGCATCACACATGGAGCTCGCATCACATACAGTGAGGGAAAAAAGTATTTGCTCCCCTGCTGATTCTGTATGTTTGCCCACTGACAAAGAAATGATCAGTCTATAATTTTAATGGTAGGTTTATTTGAACAGTGAGAGACAGAATAACAACAAAAAAATCCAGAAGAACGCATGTCAAAAATGTTATAAATTGATTTGCATTTTAATGAGAGAAATAAGTATTTGACCCCTCTGCAAAACATGACTTAGTACTTGGTGGCAAAACCCTTGTTGGCAATCACAGAGGTTAGACGTTTCTTGTAGTTGGCCACCAGGTTTGCACACATCTCAGGAAGGATTTTGTCCCACTCCTCTTTGCAGATCTTCTCCAAGTCATTAAGGCTTCGAGGCTGACGTTTGGCAACTCGAACCTTAAGCTCCCTCTACAGATTTTCTATGGGATTAAGGTCTGGAGACTGGCTAGGCCACTCCAGGACCTTAATGTGCTTCTTCTTGAGCAACTCCTTTGTTGCCTTGGCCGTGTGTTTTGGGTCATTGTCATGCTGGAATACCCATCCACGACCCATTTTCAATGCCCTGGCTGAGGGAAGGAGGTTCTCACCCAAGATTTGACGGTACATGGCCTTGTCCATCGTCCCTTTGATGCGGTGAAGTTGTCCTGTCCCCTTAGCAAAAAAACACCCCCAAAGCATAATGTTTCCACCTCCATGTTTGACGGTGGGGATGGTGTTCTTGGGGTCATAGGCAGCATTCCTCCTCCAAACACGGTGAGTTGAGTTGATGCCAAAGAGCTCCATTTTGGTCTCATCTGACCACAACACTTTCACCCAGTTGTCCTCTGAATCATTCAGATGTGCATTGGCAAACTTCAGACGGGCATGTATGTGCTTTCTTGAGCAGGGGGACCTTGCGGGCGCTGCAGGATTTCAGTCCTTCACGGCGTAGTGTGTTACCAATTGTTTTCTTGGTGACTATGGTCCCAGCTGCCTTGAGATCATTGACAAGATCCTCCCGTGTAGTTCTGGGCTGATTCCTCACCGTTCTCATGATCATTGCAACTCCACGAGGTGAGATCTTGCATGGAACCCCAGGCCGAGGGAGATTGACAGTTATTTTGTGTTTCTTCCATTTGCGAATAATCGCACCAACTGTTGTCACCTTCTCACCAAGCTGCTTGGCAATGGTCTTGTAGCCCATTCCAGCCTTGTCTAGGTCTACAATCTTGTCCCTGACATCCTTGGAGAGCTCTTTGGTCTTGGCCATGGTGGAGAGTTTGGAATCTGATTGATTGACTGCTTCTGTTGACTAGGTGTCTTTTATACAGGTAACAAGCTGAGATTAGGAGCACTCCCTTTAAGAGTGTGCTCCTAATCTCAGCTCGTTACCTGTATAAAAGACACCTGGGAGCCAGAAATCTTTCTGATTGAGAGGGGGTCAAATACTTATTTCCCTCATTAAAATGCAAATCAATTTATTACATTTTGACATGCGTTTTTCTGGATTTTGTTGTTGTTATTCTGTCTCTCACTGTTCAAATAAACCTACCATTAAAATTAAAGACTAATCATTTCCTTGTCAGTGGGCAAACGTACAAAATCAGCAGGGGATCAAATACTTTTTTCCCCTCACTGTATAAGCCACAAGCAGGCCTATAAACGCCTCACGTGGAAACGATATTCTTTTCAGAATGGTCAGTCTACATCAGATTTTGAGAATGGTCACAATGTTCACTGTCGAAGTCAGATTTAATATGTTCTAACGCTGTATATAACGTCACCGCACCTCTGATCAGCACGGTTGGCTACGCACGGTGCTAAATAAGTTCAACATACACACGGCGCAAACGAAGTTTGACATCCATACATATCGGGGCAAGATGAGAAGTTATTTTTCCGTTTGTTTACCCAGGAAAGCCTTACCGAGCTCAAGACTTTTTCATGAGGGTCCTGCCAAATTTGCCCAGTTGGGGGTGATGTTGCTGCTGTGTGATCCAAATTGGATATGCCACAACCCATCACGTGAACTCCGCTCATCCTCACAGCAGTGGCTTTTGGCTAACCATCGAACAAAGACGGCCACTGATTTGTGCGCATTCAAATGCACTTCTGCGGCCGTCTGGAATGCTCTTCCGATATTAGGAAGCCACTGGGAGCTAGGCACGTTAAAATAATCGAGATTGAAAACTCATTTATATGGAGCTGTTTTTTTGTGTTGAGTTTGTTGTCCTTCCCCCCGCGCCTCCGATGAGCACAGTTGGCTACGTACGGTGCGAAAGATGTTGAACATTCAGTACATACACCCAAAGATATAGATTTTTTTTTTACTTACACAGTAGCTGTGGTGTGGAGGGGAGGTGGATTGGGTAAAAGGCGGATAAGGCCCATGGTGCCTCATTTGCACATCAGGCAAGCTGCCAACACAGCCCGGATCCCAGTGGTCATGGAAACGAGGCACTCATTAAAGCCTTGGCACCCTTCTCCTGCTGTGCCAATCCCAGAGTCACGACGTCACTACATTACCACAGCAATGAGACCACGTACGCTGCCACGTCGCTCACCTACTCAGCAGTGCGAGCGATAATATATGAACATGTACAGAAAACTAATGACGCAGCCTGCACTATTAAAACTGACAAATTAATAACATTACCATATTTTCTTACTTTCCCAGTTTAGACACTTGCCTAGAGGGGCTGTGGCCCTGCCAGGGGCAGTTGCTGGGTGGTTGTGGGTGGGGAAAGGAAGTAGGGAGAGAAACCCGATGAGGAGAAAACAAGAATTAGGTCATACTAGAGCTGCGAACTCTGGTTTGCAAGACAAGCCCGTGTACTCTCGGTCAATTAGTGAGCGAGGGTCCTGGTGTATGACCAGGCCGACACAGTGAGGGCTTGGGAACGCTGTGGTACAGTGGTTCTCAACTTGTGGTGAGCAGACCACTGTGTGGTTCCACAAGAGCCAGGGAAAGTGCTCCACGGAGCTGTTGCGGAAACAGTAGTAGCCTGGTTGACATCGGCTATGCATTCCCGAGAGGTGAGACAACGAATATCGAAACGACGTAACTCAAAGAGATTTTTTTCCACGAGAGATAAACAAAGACAGATGAGGGTACATGGTGACGCTGCATTAATGCACGTATCTTCATCCTAGGCATACCCACATTACATTAAATTACTAATAATACTGTACTCAACACTAGTGTACAGCACTACACTTTTAACACAAAATGATAAGATACAGTATGCTAGAAGAATCACCAAAATACTGTACGTAAATAATATATTGTACTCTATAGTATAGTACATTTCTTCATGCCCGGCGCAAAGTAGTTTTTTTTACAGGGTAAGTGGAAGCGAAGGCCGATATGACGGACACGAGAAAGGACGGACGACGATGCTGCCAGCGACGTGAGTGTGGGGCTGAGGCGATGCAAATCAAGTCGCGGTATTAATAATAAAGTGACGACGTGTTTGCAAAAGACGTGAAAGGGGAAGACGTAAATCGGATATATGTTTCACAGTATTTTTTTACTGTCCATTGTGCAACTATTGAAATAAGTTTTTTTTTTAAAAAGCGTCATCAATTATTTGCATGGCTGTTCAATTAACATCTCACGGGGCTTTCAATTTTGAAAAATGTAATTGGCACATGGTGGTCTGTCAAAATAGTTTGAGAGCTGGAAGCGGTCTGTTGGGAACAGCTGCTCGAGGCCAGGTCTCGTGAACACGTGGGCTATTATTGTCAATCTGTCAATTACAAAGAATTAATTATTTTTCATTGTGATTATGGTCAGCACACTGTCATCTCTACAGTGAAATCTCCGATTAGCACGGTTAGCTGCTACGTACGGGATGAAAGAAATTAAACATACATACAGTCCAATCTCCTATTACCCGGTAGTTGCGTTTCTGAAGCTTTCACATTATGGAAAAATCACGTTATAATAAATAATATATAATATGGGGGAAAGCACAGTCCGCAATAACACGTGAAAAGCATATGCAGGCCGAACAAAGAGGCATGTGGGTAGCATCTAGAAGCATCCAGCAGCATCCCGCCTTATGTGATGCTACGCCGAAGCAGCCGTACAACCGCTTATTCCTACTCGCGTGACGTAGATCCGTTCGCTCAACCACATTGCATCCAATTTGCATCCACGTTGCATCCAATTTGCATCTGCATTGTCAAAAATGTGTTCCCTAATACATTCAACACGTTACATCGAATTCGCGTGATGAAAACATGCAGCGTTATTGGGAAACAGACTGCGCATACAAGTTGTGGATTCATGTAGACAGCACCAGCCTATTTATAACACTGCTCAATTGGTGCAAGGAATTACACAACAGAACTGGCTATGCCTTATCACTCATGAAAACACACAGGACTGTGTACTCGATATATGCTTCCTTTCTTTAAATAGGCAGCAATAAATGCATGACATCACTGACAGGTTGAAGTCAAGTAGACGTGTCAGTCTAATTACAACTAAAAACCAGGCTGGCAAAATTGGTTTACAGAAATGGCCATGACACAATCATGTGTGTTGGTGTCATGGCCAATATTTCTACATTTAATTACTCAAAACAAGTTTGACAAAATGAGAATAAGCGCATTACCAAGGTTATATAGCTGCCATAATGAATCACCCGGTAAAAAGCATTTAGACATCTAGTACTAGAACTCATATTAGCACCGGGCGGTGACGTGGCCCCTCTGTAACACATTCGCTCGCCACTTGTTGCAAAGGATCACGCTTCGAATCCGGCCTTTGGTTATTCCAGCGGGTGTATGGACATTAGGGTGAAGCGCCTTCTGCTTCACAGTGGACCTTAAAGTTCCCGTGGCAAGAGAAGGCCATTGTGTGCCAGCCTCATGGTCAAAATTTGCCATGGAAAAAAAACTTACACCGGCAAATAAGTCAATTGGAATCTACA